GATCTCTTGACCTCATGATCCACCTGTCTTGGCCTCTCAAAGTGCTGGGATTACAGGCTTGAGCCACCGCGCCCAGCCTTGTATAGATATTTTTTGAGACAGGGTCTCCCAGGATGGAGAGCAGTGGTGTGACCATAACTTACTGCAGGCTTCAACTCCTGGGTTCAAGCCATCCTCCTGTCTCAGCCTCCCAAAGTGCTGGGGTTACAGGTGTGAATGACCGTACCTGGCCAAAAGTGTTATAATAAAGAATAAGAAATGGGTTGGGCTTGGTGGCTCACACCTGTAATCCTAGCACTTTGGGAAGCCAAGGAAGATGGATCACCTGAGGTCAGGAGTTGGAGACCAGTCTGGCCAACACAGTGAAACCCCATCGCTACTAAAAATACAAAAATGAGCCTGGCGTGGTGGTGGGCACCTGTAATCCCAGCTACTCGGGAGGCTGAGGCACAAGAATCACTTGAACCTGGGGTGGCAGGGGACAATCTCGCTCGAGCTGAGAGATCATGCCATTTCACTCCAGCATGGACAAAAGAGGGAGACTAGACTCCGTCTCAAAAAAAAAAAAAAAAAAAAAAATGCTAAGAAATGATGAAGACGGCTGGGCGCAGTGGCTCACGCCTGTAATCCCAGCACCTTGGGAGGCCAAGGCAGGTGGATCACGAGGTCAAGAGATTGAGACCATCCTGGTCAACATGGTGAAACCCCGTCTCTACTAAAAATACAAAAAATTAGCTGGGCATGGTGGCGCGAGCCTGTAATCCCAGCTACTCAGGAGGCTGAGGCAGGAGAATTGCCTGAACCCAGGAGGCGGAGTTTGCTGTGAGCCGAGATTGCACCATTGCACTCCAGCCTGGGTAACAAGAGGGAAACTCCATCTCAAAAAAAAGAAAGCAATGATGAAGACTACCATAGAGAAATGGGTAAAGGACATGAACAAACAATTCATGATAGAAATATGAATAGCTAATACACAGAAATTTAAAACTTTTCATCTTGCTGGGCGCAGTGGCTCACACCTGTAATCCCAGCCCTTTGGGAGGCTACGGCAGGAGGATAGCTCGAGCCCAGGAGTTCAAGCCTGGGCAACATAGAAAGAACTCTCTCTCCTCAAAAGGAAAAAAAAAAATTAATCCTACTAAACATCAAGTACATTCAAAATTTTAACGTGACATCATTTTTTCAACTTGTCAAATTTGGAAAAGTTTATTGTTATTGTTGTTGTTGTTTTTTGAGACTGAGTTTCACTTTCGTTGCCCAGGCTGGAGTGCAGTGGCGCGATCTTGGTCAACCACAACCTCCGCCTCCCGGGTTCAAGCGATTCTCCTTCCTCAGCCTCCTGAATAGCTGGAATTAGAGGCAAGTGCCACCACGCTCAATTAATTTTGTTTTTTTTTTTTTTTTTTTAATAGAGATGGTTTCTTCATGTTGGTCAGGCTAGTCTTGAACTCCCAACCTCAGGTGATCTGCCCACCTCGGCCTCCCAAAGTGCTGGGATTATAGGCGTGAGCCACCACACCCAGCCTGTTATCGTTGTTTTTATTTCACACGAATAAAAAGAGAGAAGGGAAATTTGTGCTCCTGATTATTGCTGCTGCGTGTATAAATTGGTCCAACCAATGTGCATGGCAATCTGACAGTATGCTCAAAAGCTGAGGAGTGTGCACGTCTTTTGACTCAGTAATATTTACCTCTGTGGAATTCATACTACGTATATAATTAGAAATGTGAGGCCAGGTGCAGTGGCTCATGCCTGTAATCCCAGCACTTTGGGAGGCCAAGGCAAGTGGATCACCTGAGGTCAGGAATTTGAGACCAGCCTGGCCAACATGGTGAAACCCTGTCTCTACTAAAAATACAAAAATTAGCCTGGCATGGTGGTGCCTGACTGTTATCCCAGCTACTTGGGAGGCTGAGGCAGGAGAATTGCTTGAACCCAGGAGGTGGAGGTTGCAGTGAGCCGAGATCATGCCACTGCACTCCAGCTTGGGCGACAGAATGAGACTCCATCTCAAAAAAAAAAAAAAAAAAAAAAAAGGGTCAGGCACGGTGGCTCACGTCTGTAATCCCAGCACTTTGGGAGGCTGAGGCAGGTGGATCACAAGGTCAGGAGTTCGAGACCAACCTGGCCAATATGATGACACCCCCGTCTCTACTAAACATACAAAAATTAGCCAGGCGTGGTGGCATGAGCCTATAGTCCCAGCTGCTAGGGAGGTTGAGGCAGAAGAATCGCTTGAACCCAGGAGGTGGAGGTTGCAGTGAGCTGAGATCGCACCATTGCACTCCAGCCTGGCAACAGAGCGAGACTCTATCTCAAAAAAGAAAAAGAAGAAAAAAAAGGAAAAGCCAGAATTCCAAGATTCATCCTGACACAGATCAAAGAGAAAAACATTTGATACTTGGTCATAACAATTGTATCCATGTGCACTTTACCAGCCCCTTCACTTGTACCTTCAGACAGCCTCACAAGGATCCTGTTGGCAGAGTAGCTGTTAGTCTTCCCATTTTACTGAGAGAAAACTGGATCTCTGAGAGGCTGAAATTTGTCCAGGATTACCCAAGTAGTAAGTAACGGAGCTGGGGCCAGAGGCTAGGTTTTCAGTCTCCTTCATAGTACGTGCGTTTGGAGATACAAAACAGGCCAGGCATGTTGGCTCACACCTGTAATCCCAGCACTTCGGGAGGCCAAGGCAGGTGCATCACGAGGTCAGGAGTTTGAGACCAGCCTGACCAACATGGTGAAACCCCGTCTCTACTAAAAATAAAAAAACTAGCCGGGTGTGGTGGTGCATGCCTGTAATTCTAGCTATTTGGGAGGCTGAGGCAGAATTGCTTGAACCTGGGAAGCAGAGGTTGCATTGAGCCGAGATCGCACCACTACACTCCAGCCTGGGCGACAGAGTGAGACTCTGTCTAAAAACAACAACATCGACAAACATGCCTTTCATCATTCTTACCGACAGCTCACGAAATTGAGGGAATATGGATGGTTCATCAGAACTTACACTGCTGCTGGAGATACTGATAAGCAAGTCCAGGAAACACAGTCCAGGAATGCTCCCCTCTAGGAAGGACAACAAGGAACAGGAAGCGGGATGAGGTTGGCCTTTCTGCTCCTCTTCCCAGGATTTCCTCACAGGGTGAAGAGGGACCACTCACAGTGCAGCTAGAAACTAGAGTTCCTGTTGGGTGGGATTTGAGAAGCCTTTGAGCAAAATTCAAAGACCATGGTCTGTCAAGTCATTCCTACAACTCTTTTTCTTTTCTTTTTTGAGATGGAGTTCCACTCTATTCCCCAGGCTGGAGTGCAGTGCCATGATCTTGGCTCACTGCAACCTCTGCCACCTGCGTCCAAGCGATTCTCCTGCCTCAGCCTCCCAAGTAGCTGGGATTACAGGTGCCTGCTACCGCGCCTGGCTAATTTTTGTATTTTTAGTAGAAACAGTGTTTCACCATCTTGGCCAGGCAGGTCTTGAACTCCTGACCTCGTGATCCACCTGCCTCGGCCTCCCAAAGTGCTGGGATTACAGGCGTGAGCCACCGTGCCCGGCAAACTACAGCTTTTTATTTGTTGACACCTGAGTCCAGTTAAGCTTGGGAAATTGGGGAAGGAAAGGACCCATAGAGAGGCAGCGTGCCCTTGAAGTCTCCCCAGAGCCTTTGTAGCAGGTGCCAGGTCTCCTTGTTCTGAAGGTAGAGGGTTTCTCTGGAAATCTGGCTGGGAGAAAGGGCAAGGATCATTGGGTTAGCAATAGAGTGGGAAAAGCCAGGCACCAGCCTGTTAGCCTGAATCCGCCCCAGTCCTCTAGGCAGAGACAGGAATGAGTTACCCAGAGGAGTCTCTAAGCCAGCTGCCACTCACAATCCCGCCTCATCCCTCGTCATGAGCACAAAGGCCTACCGAGCACTCAGCAGTGCTGTTCTGAGCACTTTACATGTAGGAATTCATTTAATCCTCACACAACCCAAAGATCTTATGAGCTACATGCCATCATTATCCTCATTTACAGATGAAACCAAGACCCAGGGAAGAGGAAGATGTTAGGGTAGCCAGACACAGTGGGACTCCTGAAGCCTCCCGTGTGGGTGAAAACAGATCAACAGCAATGCCTTGCACTCGTTCTGAACTTTGGAGTTTTTTTTTTTTTTGTTTGTAACACAGTCTTGCTCTTGTTGCCCAGGCTGGAGTGCAGTGGATCTGGGCTCACTGCAACCTCCGCCTCTCCGATTCAAGTGATTCTCCTGCATCAGCCTCCTCAGTAGCTGAGATTGCAAGCACCAACCATCACACCCGGCTAATTTTTGTAGTTTTAGTAAAGACTGGGATTCACCATGTTGCCCAGGCTGGTATTGAACTCCTGACTTCAGGTGATCCACCCGCCTCGGCCTCCCAAAGTGCTGGGATTACAGGCGTGAGCCACGGCGCCCTGTCGAACTTTGGAGTTTATAAAGGATCTTCCCTTTGATCCTGGGACTCTCACAGAGGGTGAAATAGGGCGTCTTATCAATTGTGGCCCAGAGAGGTGATGTGATTCACCCAAGGCCACGCAGCTAGTGAGAGGTCTGGGGCGGCTTTGCCGCCGCCTGGAGACGGGACAGATTCCCAGCCCACGGGTCAGATCGCGCTTCGCCGCAAGACTTCCCTGCGCGGGCGCGGGCACGGCCTCTCCTTCCTACGCCAGGGCGGGAGGGGCGGAGCGGATCGCGGCCTGATGGCCCGGGCGCTGTCCGCGGTGCTGATCCCCCGCCGCGCCCCTGCTCGCCTGAGTACCGGCGGGCTCCCCAGGTCGCCGCCCTTCCAGCGCGCAGCCAAAGCCAGCTCCGCGAGCCCAACGGCCCGCTGGGGGCCTCTGGCCCGGCTCCCGGGGCTCTCGGGGCTCCCGGGGTTCCCCCTCCCCCGGCCGCGCGCCGCCGGCCTCCCCCCTCCGCCCCGCCCACGGCCCCGCCCAGCCCGCCCCTGGTCCCTCCCCTCCCCCTTCATCTCTCCCGCCCCCCCGCACCCCTCCAGTTCGTTCGCCAGTTCCGGTCACGTTGCTGGGTGTTTACGCCTCGAGCCCGCCCCGGCCCCCCTTCGGCGCCCCCCGAACCCCCCGGAGCCCCTGCCCGACTGCCCCGCAGCCTCCCAGCAGCTGATGGCGCCGCAGCCGGGGCGGGAGCTGCGGAACCCGGGGCGCAGCTAGCGCGGGGGGGAAGAGCGCCGCCCCCACCCAGCCCGGCCCCGACCCCGGGCCCCGCCGGCCGGTGGCTCCCAGGTCCCGAAGGTGAGGAGGCCGGTCGGTGGGCGTGGGGGATGTGAGCGCCGGGGCAGCCCCGGGAGGGAGCAGCGCGGCCGAGCTCCAGCTCCCCCGGGAGGGCTGGCGCGGGGCTGGGCACCGCAGCGCGCAGGAGGTGGGCTGACTCGCGGCGGGCTGCTGGCAGAAGTTGTCCTCCGCCGCCCAGACCCGGGTCCTGCCTGGCGCTGCCGGGCGTCCAGAGAGGCCTGAGGTCGAGCCCCGCCGCCACCCACCACGCACACCTTTCTTTCTGCTGCCTTTGCCTTCCTGTTTGCTCCCTCTCTTCCCCGTGCTCCTTAGTCTCCACATGCCCCGCCAGCCCTGCCTTCCCTGGGAGTCATATTGGAGGCATAATCAGGGCAGAACATGAAGCCTGAAGAGGGTGGGGGGCTCCAGCTTCCCCATACACCACATTCCAGTGTGGTGACTGGATCCTCAGCTTTGCTAAGGTGGGGGGGCTCCTGAAATCTTCAGTGGAGGGGGCAGCCAGAGTTGAGGGATAAGGGGGGGAGGGGCTCTGGAGTGGAGAGGACCACAAGGTCCTGGGGGATGTGGCACTACCACTGGCCAAGTGGCCCCAACTTGCACACAGAGTTCTAGTCATTTGTCAAAGGCTGAATCTTTGCTCCAGACTTAAATCCCCAGAAAAGCCAAGGACTTGGGGTTGGGGAGCAGCGTACTTATTTTTTAGCAGTGTATTTACTTGCTGTGGTGATTCCCAGCAAGACTCAATCCATTCTCCTGGTTTCAGCAACATTAATTGTGGGCCTGTTCCTTGCAAGAGATTCCCAGAGACAAAGCCTTGCCCTCAGGAAGCATATGGCTTAGCACAGAAGCCAGGTGCATGCAGGCACACACACATACACACACACACACACACACACACACACACACACACAAGTGATAATAGGATAGACTGTGGCGCTAGCCGCCACCCAGATTCCAACAAATTGCCTGGGGAACAAAGAGGCAGGAGAGAGTCTTTCCAGCTTGGTGGGGGATCAGGGGTGGCTTCATGGTAAGGTAATGCCAGAGCAAGGTCCTGAAGGATGGGTCAGGTTTCAAGAGGCAGAGACAGGGTGGACATGGTAAGTGAGGGGATGCCTGGCTACTGGGCTACTGGAAAAGGTTGTCATGAGAGCAGCAAGAGGTAGAATCCCAAAGAAGAGAAGATCAGCCTGCAAAGACGGACTGCCAAATGCAGGCTGATGTTCTCCTCTTTGGATTCTCTTGTGAGAGGCCATCAATGCCAGGATGATCGTCCAGTGGGGTGCTTCTAGTTGCCAGGCACTGTAGTTGTGTATATTGAGCAAACTCCTTTACCCCTCAGCCTGTCTCGTCATCCATAAAGTGGATACATTAATAGAATCTTCAGTGTGGGGTTGTTGCCAAGATAAGTGAGTTAATATATGTAAAATGCTAAGAACAGTACCAATTACTTATTATTATAAGTATTATTACCCATGCATTCATGCCATGTCCAAGATAGGCTGCATGCCTTCCTGCTCTCCTACTGCCCCAGACCTCTGAGTCAGACCAGGAACAGGAATAATGACTAAGAAAAATAAAGCTTATATTGATTCTTTTTTTTGAGACAGAGTTTTCTTCTTGTCACCCAGGCTGGAGGGCCATGGCACGATCTCAGCTCACTGCAACCTCCAGCTCCCAGGTTGAAGTGATTCTCCTGCCTCAGCCTCCCAAGTAGCTGGGACTACAGGTGTGTGCCACCACACCCTGCTAATTTTTGTATTTGTAGTAGTAGAGACAGGGTTTCGCCATATTGGCCAGGCTGGTCTTGAACTCCTGACCTCAGGTGATCAGCTTGCCTTGGCCTCCCAAAGTGTTGGGATTACAGGCGTGAGCCACCGCGCCTGGTCTGATTCATTTATTTGTTCACTTATTGCCGTGCCTGTCCTATCTAATATACCTTCCCTGACTATAAGAATAATAAAAATAAGTCTAACATTCTCCTTAAAACAAGAAAACATACATAAAGAATTTTAACAAAACGTGGGTATTAACTGTTAAGAACAGCACAAAGATATTTGTTGACTTGATAAATCGTTTTAGAAAAGAAACACTAGGAAAAGCTGAACCTGGGACAAGAGAATATGGTCAGTGAGTGAGGAAGGGCAGACAAAGCAAGCCCCGAGCAAGCAGGTCACAAGAAGTGCAGGGTCTGGTTCCTCTCCCAGCAACCTCCTCTGCCTGAGGGAAAGAGGCAGCAGAGGCCAGGGGACCTTGAGCAGATGAAAAGGGTGTGGGGAAGGTGAGATTTAGATAGCCAAGGAATGACTGAACTAAAAAGAGGTTTTGAGGGCATGGTGGCTCACACCTGTAATCCCAGCACTTTGGGAGGCTGAGGCAGGTGGATCACTTGAGGTCAGGAGTTCAAGACCAGCCTGGCCAACATGGCAAAACCCCTGGTCTACTAAAAATACAAAAATTAGCCAGGCATGGTGGCAGGCTCCTGAAGTCCCAGTTGCTCAGCAGGCTGAGGCAGCAGAATTGCTTGAGCCAGTAGGCAGAGGTTGCAGTGAGCTGAGACCGTGCCACTGCACTCCAGCCTAGGTGATAGAGTAAGTCTCCGTCTCAAAAAAAAAAAAATAAATTAAAAAAATAATAATTAAGAAAAAACCTGTGGGCGAGCAAAAGCCTTTCCTCCAATGAATTTGTATGTATGCATAAGCTCATAATATAAAGAAGGGATAAAAAGGCAAAGCCTCCGGCCCCGCCCTTTGCCCCCAGTCCTTTTGAGACCCCTTAGTGGAGTCCTGGAGGTCTATGGAGCAAAACTTGAAAACCACTAACTGAGATGATTTTGAAGGTCCTCTGGGTCCTAAGCACTATGATTCTGTACTTTTTTTTTATTTATTAAAAAGAGATGGGGGTCTCGCTATGTTGCCCAGGCTGGAGTGCAGTGGCTATTCACAGGCACGATCTCACTACTGATCAGCACGGGAGTTTTGACCTGCTCCGTTTCCAACCTGGGCCGGTTCATCCCTCCTTAGGCAACCTGGTGGTCCCCCGCTCCCGGGAGGTCACCATATTGATGCCAAACTTAGTGCGAACACCCAATCAGCATAGTGCACTACAGCCCAGAACTCCCGGGCTCAAGCAATCCTCCAGCCTCAGCCTCCCAAGTAGCTGGGACTACCGGCACACGCCACCGTGCCCAGCTATGATTCTGTACTTTGTATGGTTCTTTCAACCCAAAGAGCTGTAAAAACTAAGCCAGGCATGGTGGCTCACACCTGTAATCCCAGCACTTTGGGAGGCCAAGGTGGGCATATCACCTGAGGTCAGGAGTTTGAGACCAGCCTGGCCAACATGGTGAAACCCTGACTCTACAAAAAATGCAAAAATTAGCCAGGCATTTTGGTGGGCACCTGTAATCTCAGCTATTGGGAGGCTGAGGCAGGAGAATTGCTTGAACCCAGGAGTCGGAGGTTGCAGTGAGCCAAGATCACGCCACTGCACTCCAGCCTGGGCAATAGAGCAAGACTCCATCTCAAAAAAAAAGGGGGGGTGCCAGGCACGGTGGCTCATGCCTGTAATCCCAGCACTTTGGGAGGCTGAGGCAGGCGGATCACTTGAGGTCAGGAGTTCAAGACCAGCCTGGCCAACACAGTGAAACCCCATCTGTAAAAGGAAAAAGAAGAAGGGAAAATTAACAGAAAAAAAAAAACTCAGAGAACCAGAAGGAGGGAAGCAGAAACAATCCAGTCCCTTATGTGGTCAGGACAGTGGACAGAGGACAGTGACCCTCTTCCCTGAGCATGTTAACTCAAGCTGGATGCCTAGTGCTGGATGTGGGGGAAAGATGGAGCTGATAGCACCAGCCCTTTAGCTGCTGTTACTAGCTTAGGCCACTTCCTCGGGCATGAGCATCTGAAGCCCAGATGTTCCAGGACTGCGTTTCTGATGGGAACATCTGATGTTTTCCTAGCTTGGGCCTTCTGAAATAGTGCCTGCAACTCCCCAGCCACCACAGAGAGATTTTGGTTGTCACTAGTTCCCTTCCCCACGCTATCTCCCACCCTCCCCCAAAAGAACAATAACGCCTAAGGAAGAATAGTTGCCAAGATTGTTTGTGACCCAAATTTCTGTCCTGAGAAAAGCAGCCTGCCTAGTTGGAAGCAAATACTCGAGTCTTTCTGGGAAAGCACAGAAGCAGCTGTTTGGCCGAGCCTCTCACAGTGGCCAGAGTCCAGTCTCCAGAGCTGTGTGGGAAGACCTTTTCTCTTCAGACGCGTTTCCATCTCAGTGGCTGGGAGCAAACGATTTCTCTCTTTATCCCAAGCACGGGCCCACACACCTTCATCCTCCAGGCGTGCGCACAGCAGACAGAGCAGCAAGAGGATCGAGAAACACTCACACATGCTCCTTGAGGCACACAGGCACACTGAGGCACACGTAGAGATAAGCAAGCACACAAATCCCAACACAGACACACAGTTGCACGAACACACAGCTCACCTGTTTCTCTTGAGTTGTGCACCAGCATATTATTGTTTTTATTTTATCTTTTATCTTTTTGTTTTTGAGACACAGTCTGGCTCTGTTGCCCAGGCTGGAGTGCAGTGGTGCAATCTCAGCTCACTGCAACCTCTGCCTCCCAGGTTCAATCGATTCCCCTGCCTCAGCCTCCCGAGTAGCTGGGACCACAGGTGCACACCACCACACCTGGCTAATTTTTTTGTATTTTTAGTAGAGATGGGGTTTCACCACGTTGACCAGGATGGTCTAGATCTCTTGACCTCGTGATCCACCCGCCTTGGCCTCCCAAAGTGCTGGGATTACAGGCTTGAGCCACTGTGCCCGGCCTAGGAGTCTGGTTCTTTTATTTATTTATTTATTTTTTTGAGACAGAGTTTTACTCTTGTTGCCCTGGCTAGAGTGCAATGGCGCAATCTCGGCTCACCGCAACCTCTGCCTCCCAGATTCAAGCAATTCTCCTGCCTCAGCCTCCCGAGTAGCTGGGATTA